GCTGATGCGGCTCCTCAATCATAAGGCCCTAATCAACAACGGTTTTAAGTGCCCCTTTGTTTTACATTCAATTATACACTAATGACTCATGCCTAGTGGAAACATTTAAATACTAATGCTCTGTTAATTTAAACTGAAAAAGGTAAAAACCTTTTCGGAATACTTAAAAAGCCATGGTCGTTGTGCTGCTCTGTACTCCTTTTACTTTTTAAAATGAGTTTAGCTCAGGTGTGTTGTCGATACGGTTGAGGGGCCTGGGCCTCATCAATTGTTCATCTTTACAGCTTTGAGTTTCTGTGAAAGTGAAGACTATTCATTCATTATTCAACAACTTTACAAGAGGGATCTAAGGTAACTTGTGAAAAGAATATACACATCAGATACCAACCCATAAAGTTATTGTATGCTTAAAATTGCACTCTGTTAATAAACTTGATCTCACATTAAATCCGTCCAAGGTGACAATCATTTATTTTATTGGAGCATTCAATATTTTCAGTTTAGTTGTACATGGTGTGTGTCCCAGTGATGCCTTCAATCACTTTTCTTTGCAAATCTTTCCAGTCTAACTCCAATTCACATGTAGAGTATAAATAGGATCTTGGTTTTGTCAGTAGTAAATAATGACTACAATAAAATATATCAAAAAAGAAATATCCACTGTACAAAGATCAATTAAACATTAGACTGTTGTTAGTCAAGTTGGTTAATCTTTTTACCATATTGGTTGTTGGATAAACAAAGTCATGCATAAAACAGTTGTCCTGAAAAGTATTATTACAACTGTTCTACAATTGGAAAGCGTTTAAATGTTTTCTTTTGTAGGAATGGCAGGAGCACGGACTGTCAATTAGTTCATAATTTTACGAACTTAAAGGTCGGTTTCATAATGTGTAAATATTTGACATTTCGATTTTTTAAAAGCAAATTTGAAAGAACACTATCTCTGTTGGTCAAGTTGGCGCAACAACCTTCCTTATCTGGGCTTGTGAATTGTACAAACAAGCACATGTAAGAGCTTTTTTGTGGTTGCAGTTCTTCAACATAGAGCCAATTGTAAGTAGCCTACTATGTATTGTAAGTATAGCAGTGCTTGAATTGGAATGAAAAAGGTGCCAGTACTCTAAAATCAGCAACTTTTTCAAGTCAATTTTATATATACAGCCCACAAACAAGAATTTGGCTACTATAATGCTGGTGGGTTTGTCTCTTTACTACTGTATATTTTAGAAAGGTTCACTGTACTTAACATTTGTTATGATAGGCAGCGGATATGGCTAAAGCTCAGTAAGGTCAATATTAACTGAAAATATAGCAATCAAAGTCTAGATCTTCTGCTGAAGACACATGAAGCAGAGACCTTTCAGGTGAGAGCCCCTCTGGTGGTGTTCAACATTAATGACAAGGAAACAAAGCTCTGGTCAGAAGCATTTTTTATAAAAAGCTTTAACAAAATTAAGTATTTCTGTACATTTTGAATGCAATCTAACTTTCCAACTCAGAAAACGAAAAAGTGCCAAAAGTCTTCTCACATGGCTGAGCTGCTTTGCAATATACTTCACCACTGAAGAATACAAATATGTATAAAGTAAACTATGATGCAATCTAACTTTCCAACTCAGAAAAATGATAAAGAGCATGAACAAAGAACATGTAAAAACAAATGCAACATTTGCACAATCTAAAATGAGAAACTGTAACTGCAAGTAACAAGTCTGAGCCATGGTAAAGAGTTACATTGAACACCAAGCTGATCAGATAACTCCCTGGTTGGTCTGAAGTCCTTCTATCTCCAGGATCTGTACAAATCGGCACATTATGCCAAAAGTCTTCTCACTGGGTGAGCTGCTTTGCAATATACTTCACATTGTTAGAAAAGGCTCCAGAAGGCCTTGGGGACATCAGTATCAGGGGCTAGAGCTGGACAGGCTCTTTCATCAGCACTTCTCCTTCCCTTTGCCAGCCAGGACCTCACATACTGTTCCGGATTGAACTGTCCTAGTGATGGTCCATTACATTTAATGAAAACCAGGCTGGACAGTCGGCTGACAGAGAGAGCATTCCTTTTTGCAGTAAGGATATCGTTCATGCAGCTGAATGCCCGCTCACACTCACTAGTGGAGACAGCGATGGTTCGGACTGCTTTCAGTAGAGGCTCCATGGCAGCAGGTGTACGGGATGCCCTGGTTTCCTTGTATTCGCGAAAGCCCTGAACAGTCTCTCTTCTGTCCACTTTCAGCACTTCGCACAAACGTAGCACCTCTACGTCCCCATACTGTACGTCTAACTCCTCTTCAGGCCAACTTCCAGGATGGATAACTTTCATGTCCTGGATTAGCTGATTGTCCCGGGCCTCCCGGCCATGTAATGGGATTTCTCTTGTGCTGACATGAGAGGAGGTTGTGGAAGTCATTCTGTGTCTCAGATTATCTACCATACTGCGGAAAAACTGACCTGCATGAATCTGTACAAGCCTGCCATTCTCACGCAGGGCAACACCCTTGAAGGACTTCTCAGCTAGAGCTGTATGAACTGTAGTCATGTGTGGGCCAGGCATGGTGACCATGGATTCAAAAACTCGTATTTCTCGAGTTAAGAGCCTATCTGCTGTAGGCAGTGTCATCTCTCTTTTTTGGAGTTGCCGAGAGAGGTCGCTGAGCTCTGTGAGCGCATCGTACATCAGTCCCAGATTGCTGACAAACGTTGCAGATGTGAGCACATCATCCAGGCCCTTGTACTTTGCTCTGTCTCTGGAATCCCTGCTCGTGTCGTTTGCAGCATTTGTGAAGTGATCATGAAGCACTCGGTAGTTTTCCCAGACTGCTCTGACGCTCCTTTCACTTGAAGCCACCCAGCGGATGGACAAAACACGCCCTATCACCAGGAGACGCTGTCCGACTGCTTGCGCACACTGCGCTAACTGCCTCTGATTTTTGGGGGAGGCATGGAACAAGGAATAGAGTTTGTCAAAAAAGATCTGGAAATGATTGAGCCCTGAGACCTCCTTGACCACATCCCCAACTGCCAGCTCTAGACGATGATTGGAGCAGTGCCACACAAACAGGCTTGGGAATTTACTACACAACTGGGTAGCAACGCCTGTTCTCTTCCCTAGCATGACTGAAGCCCCATCACATGCAAAAGAAACGAAACACTGACCTAAAAAGTCCTCGTTAAAATCTCTTCCAAGACACTCCATTAACGCCTTTGTGATGTCATCAGCCGTTGTTCCATCCAACTCGATCAGCTCCCAAAAAAACGTTTCGGGCTCAGCATCAGCTAATGCTGAGCGTAGACACACAACAAGCACCGTTTTACCACTAATAGTGGTAGATTCATCGACCAAAACACAGAGTTTTCTTTGGTTTTCTGTAATGTCTTTTGCCATTTTTTTCTTCAGCTCATGAGCTATGTGGTCGATGATTTCGCCACAGGTTTTATTGGAGTGCAAAACCCTGCCCACGTTCAGCCCATTCAGTTTCTGTACATTCAAATCAATTGGCATGTCTGTGAATGGCCGGCTATGTTTGCCAATTTTATATGCCGTTCGAAAAACTCTGATAGTGGTGTCTAATTCAGATTTATGCATAGACTGCACTTGATGTTGAATAGTTTCACGTGAAGCAGATGTAAGGATGTCAGCAGCTTTTACATGGGCTTGTGATTCTTTATGTTCTTTGATTTTTGTTCTCAGGCTAGCTTGTTGTTTGCCCTTGTCAACACCGAAATGAGACACTGCACACTCACCCCATTCAGTTGACAGTTTCAGTCCTTGTCCAGTGTGTATTCCCAAAGATTTGACATCTCTGCATATCCGACATCCTAGCTTCTTATCTTTAAGAACGAGCCATGCATTGGTCTTGCAAAAATATTGCACCTGGTCCGTTGTCCAGCAGTCAGGTGCATCGCTTTGCCCGGTGTTGGTGGTGGCAGTTGGGCCAGCTGCAGCTAACGTTAGAGGCTCTGGAGGAGGCGGCGGAGCTAGTGCTAATGCTAATGCACTAGAACTTGGAGCAGGAGGATCAACCAAAGAAAGCTCCCCATCAGACACAATTTCCAACACAGGCACAGCATTCTCTGTATTTGAAGTTTCTTCCGGCGACAACCGCTGTCTTTTTGCACTTTTATTAATCAACGCTAACATTTTAGAAATGCTAATTTGTGACGTGACTTGCTTTCCTTCTCTCGGGGGCGTGCCTGCTCTGTTCTATCACGCTACATAGCCACCCACTGGGTGGGAGTTGCACTGCATAAACACAACACACGTGCATCTAGGTATGTAAATTGTAAAGCATTAAAACATGGTTTTACTAACAGTTTTCAGTATGTTGTTACTTCGGCATTATTATTATTATTATTATTATTATTTTGAAACGTGTATTACTATTAAATCACGGTCAAATAGGTTAATTTTGACATAGTCGTTTCCACCACAGTATTTACATGGAGAAGATAAGCCCCGCCCCCTCTCCAGCACGTTCTGTTTGAATGACAGGAGTAAACAGCTGACAGCCGCTGTGAAACTCCAGCGGTTAGAGCGATGAGAATGTCCGTTCGGCACCTCATGACGCATCTACTGAGTACTGGGCGGCTGTATATATATATATGGATGTATAATAAGAACGGCGGGAGAGTGTTGAGTACTGGCACGGTGCATGAGTACCGGAGTACCGCCAGCATGCCGGTACTGAGCAAGAAGTGCCGGTACTCCATGGGTCAGAACCAGAAGTGCCGGTACTGCGTACCGGTGAGTACCGGCCCAATTCCAGCACTGAAGTATAGTATTATACAGTAGTACTGAATCAGTGCTGTTCACTGCATTTCGTTTAAGTTTTATTTAAATGTAGTGAAGTTAAAAGTACCATATCTACCTAGTAAATAAATAGAGTAGAAGTAGCATATCAAATCGGGTAAAGAACAAAAAACTTGCTTTCTAACTGAATTCAGTACATGAGTGGTCTTTTATTTTGAAACTCCCTGAGCGGATGTTGATTCGGAAACGCTGTTGGAGCAGTTATGTTTTCCTCAAAACTAGCTTCATGGCTAAATATCTAGTGTAACACTTCGTCTCAGAGAGCAGGCCAACACATATTCACATCAGAAGCTGAATATGTTACGCTGTTATGACCTGATCGTGAACTGTTAGCGTGTTTAAATCTTCGCATCACTTGAAAAAAGTGTCTGGACTGAGCAGGATGCTAGCATGTGTCGTTAGCAAACCAATGCAGGAAATTAGCTTGTTAGCTAGTCAAGTGTTATCATGAGGTTTAATGTTCCCTCTTTATGCTCGTCCTCGATTTAAATAACCTCTGCGCAATGGACACCGAGGGAATAGTGATCCGTATAAAAACGCCGGCAGGGGATATGGACTCGGCCGTTGACTGTCCATCTCTTCTGAACTTCAATGACTTACTTGTGAGTGTTCAACATGCTAACAGCTAGCTAACTGTCATTTAGTGTTAGCTGTTCACAGTCAGAAACAGCTGTACAGTTACATGGTCACTGTGTTGGAAGTGTTGGAAGATGTACTCAGATCCTTCACTTTAGTAAAAGTACAATTACTTTAGTCTTAAATACTCCCACTATGTGTAAAAGTCCTGCCTTTTGTAATTCAGTAAAAGTACAAAAGTATTGGCATTACAAATTCATTACAAGTAAAAGTAATCATTCTGCAAAGTGGATTTTTTTTCAGACTAATATCAAGTACATAAGTATTTTTAGCTACATGTACTTCAAGTATCAAAAGTAAAAAGCACTCGTGATTCAGAAAGACTCTTTTCACACTATTATAGTATTATGGTTATGATTTAATGCTGTTTTTATTGATGTAATAGTATTTCCGTGTTGTAGTTTGTCAATGTAGGCCAAATGTAAATACATATATATATATATATATATATATATCATGTGTTTTTATATGTTTTTAATGTCGGTGTTAAAATAAAAGTAGTGGAGTAAAAAGTACGCTATTTGCTCCTGTAATGTAGTGGATTAGAAGTATAAAGTGGCATTAAATGGAAATTAAAATACAAATATGTCCAAAAAAACGTAGGTACAATACTTGAGTAAATGTACTTTCTTTCACATCACTGGTCTCAGGGAAACTAAGACGCACTAAACATACTAAAAGTTACCTGTTGATCAGAGGTGAGAAGTAACTGAGTACATTTACTCAAGTACTGATTTGAATTTAAGTACGATGTTGAGATACTTGTACTTTACTTGAGCATTTCCATTTGATGCTACTTTGCACTTTTACTCCACAACATGTATTTTGTACCTTTAGTTACTTTACAGATTTGAGTTAATGATGTGAAATATAATCAACACTTAAATAATAATTTAGTTCCACCTGGAGTAAATTCACAAGCTACCCTGCAGTATACAAAGTCATTACAACTAGCTGCACCTTTACCAGCTTTGAGAACACTTTCATGTTCAATCCTTATTATCAAAACATATCATATATATTATTCTGAAATGGGCCAATCTGCATCTTTTAATTTGATAACATTTTGATTGCAGGACTTTTAAATGTAACAAAGTATTTGTACACTCTGGTTATTCTACTTTTACTGAAGTACACAATCTCAGTACTTCTTCCAGCTCTGCTGTTAATATAATTATTTCATGTGTTATATTTCTTCTGGTTTTAATTTGCTCTACCAAACATTTTCAGGTTGCAATCAGAGATGTCATGCCTGAAGCCACTGTCACAGCCTTTGAATGCAAGTATCTCTTTCTATCTATCTCGTTATATTTATTAAGTTATTTTTCTGTGCAGTTTTGACAGAGAAAAGTACTCCTTTTACAACGTTAATTATATCTGTATAGTCAGTTTTAGTGTTTGTTATGATCAAGTATGATGATCTAACAGGTGAGCATACTGTAGATGTTGCTTTGCTTTGGAGTTAACCTCATATTATGAGATGCCGACAAAAGTAAATAAATGTGTTTCTCATTTCTGTGAGGATTATAAAAAGTTACAAAATCTGCTAATCCTTTCTTTGTCTTTTATATGGCATACAGCGGCGACTGTTTTGCTCATAAAACTGTCAAATGCACATTGCATGTCATGAAGGTTTTTTGGTTATCACTTATGTCTTGTAAAAAATAAATAAAGTATCGTTTCCCTTTTTGTAAGTACTAAAATGTTGCTTCTTTTCTCTTTTTTAGTTCCTCAAACTGATGAGTTTCAATATGAGTGTGTAAAGACGGCTTTTATCATGCACACACGGTTAACTGTCTTAATAATATGGAATGCGTTGCCTCAAATATTTTGCATAAAAGCTAACCTGTTAAGTACTATTGATATAAAATTAGTTTAATTTTGTGTCAATAACAATATTTGCTATTGTACAGTTTATGTTTTTATTATTTATTTAAAGGTAGGGTAGGTAAGAATGGAGAAACCAGCTCGAGTGCGCTAGAATTTGAAAGTGCGCATCCCGGCTAAAATAATTGGTCATGCTTTTTACAGCGCCACGGCTTCCACAGATGTATGTAAGCATTTCATGTATTCATTGCTATCGGGATGTTAAGAGCATTCCATGGAATATAACAAGTGTTTCTGAAGTGAATTACCTACCCCACCTTTCACTAATATTTTGATGTTTAAAAATATGCTTATTTGTTTTCTAGATGAAGACGAGGTGGGGGACAGAATCACCGTAAGAAGTGATGAAGAACTCAAAGCCATGTTGTCGTATGTAAGTATATAATGAGTTCATTACTTATATTTGTTTCAACATGTGTTTTTGCCAATTGATATGGGCAGTAGAATATCATTTTGATCAAAACTGATGTTAAGGTCATACAGTATGTCACTGTTGCCATTTCTGTATTTAATGTACAACATCCAGTGCACGTCTGAACTCTTTTTTTCTGTGCAGCATTTCTAATATAATTAAAGTGTCTAAGAATATAATGTTTATGTTGTACAGATTGTAAGCATTTCTAAGTCACTAGGACATTGTTTTAAAAGTCCTGTCTGAGTGCTTTGTGGAAAACAATGAGAGCCACTTACTTTCTTTTCATTTGGAAACAAATCTTTGAGATGGACAACTCAAAACGTTGGCACAACTTGAGAGCTGTCTGGCAAGAAAGTGGTTTAAAGGGACAGTTCAGCCTAAAAACAAATATACATATACCTGTAGAGATTTTAATCAATCTTTTTGTTTTGTTTTGAGATGCAAGGTGTTTGAAAAAACTGACTGTAAAGAAAACTGCTTCCTCCTCACTATAGTAGAACTACAGTAGATGGCACTCGACTTGTAGTGCTCGAATGTCCATACAAATTCATAAAGAAAAACTCTTCAGCAATTTATTTTTCCAGAAAATAAACCACAGAACTTGTTTTGAGCAGTTTCATGTAGGAAATAGTAGACGCAGCGTAGATGCTAGAATGTGCCCATCAGGTCAAAAGCTTTGCAAAAACTCAGGCAAGTGGCTGCCCTATGACCTATCCTAACATTAACCATTCAAGGTCAAAGTCTGCAACTCAACAACCTGAAGACTCTGATGCCTCATCCATTTGTGTGTAAACTAAGTAAAAAAAGTGCTAATTTGTAGTCTTTAGCAACCAAAGCACACATACACACACTTTCACTACCAATTCCCCCACCGTGCGCTGTGCATTTTCATATTCCACAATACTTACTGTTCATGCCACGGACAGTAAGAGTAATGGCGTGTAATGGGTTTTTCTACGAGGTACACTGAAAGCTAAATGAACTGTCAATTTTTATTATTTATTATTCAGTACTTAAAGTTTTGCCTCATTAAAGAGCGAGGCCCCCTGGGCTGCAGAATTGTTCAAAATCTACTTTCATCTGTGGATGTCTTTTACCCCCCATCAGCTCACAATGATGCTGCGCGAGCCACAGGCACAATTTATACTCCTTGTTTTTTGTCCATTTTTCCATGCATTCACTTGTGGTTGCTTTTTAATCATTAAGTAGCATAGGGTAGCAGGGTTATTAGGCAAAAAGAGACAGCTGTGGTGCTAATGAGCGTTGAAAAAAACCGGTATGAAAAAATGTATTGACCTCAGACAGCTTATTTATTCACAAATCTGTGTCACAAGTTTTGAGGTTCTTTCGCCTTGCTGTGCTTTGTGTCTTGTTCAAGTACCTTTCTAGGAAATCGCAGTATTCATGTACCAATAATATTTCACTGGTTTCCTGTCCTGGATGTTTTGGTATTTTGCCGTTGTTTTTTCTTCCAAGAGATGTATGAATGCATTATTTACGACTGTGGTACTTTAATACTAATTTGATCCATGATGCGGTATATCCAATATCACCAATAGCCACTCAAAGGTGCATTTTTAAATGGCAGGAAAAGGAATTTGCAATACAACTATGAGCTATAATTTTAGTGTCTCTGTTGGGCACATTTTTGTGTGCGTTATCATTTATTTGGTTCAAATATTTTGTATTAAAATATTAATTTACGACCCTGACCCGCATTACAGCTATTGAGTATCCAAAACTCTGCACTGCTTTGTCCACAGATCTGAAAAAGCCACATGAATTTCTGGCAAACAAATCCAAGAGCCGTTTAATAGCTTTCTGCTCCTCATGGGACAGGCAAGTGCACAAAAAGCTGCTGATCACCTGGAAAATACTGGGCTCACTCAAATATAATTTACACTAGCCGAGTAGTTTAAATCTCTTATGCAAGGGCAGTCATTCAGCAGTCATTTGCATTTGTTTTCTGAGGATTTGTTCATGATGTGGTTGTTGCTGTGTTTGCCATTTGGCCTCCGTAGAGACCCAAGTGGATATTTTCCTCAGTGTTGTTAATTCCAGGTGAGCAGACAGCCATTATGTGACATTAAAAGGAATTAAAAGAAACCTGCTTGTAAGGTGAAAGGTGGGACATTTCATTAGTCTCTCATGGTTTCCTTGTGTGTGCATTATTTTCTGTGTGTATGTTTTTGTGATAATCCATTACAACATTTCTACCCAGATTTTTTAAATATACCAACACTGCACAGTGTCTTTTTTTATTTCATTCACGACCTCTGCTTAAACATAGCCTTGCGAAAAATTCATGCTCCTTGTTTCAGAGCAAAATTAATGCTCAAATTCAGAACTTAATTAACACCAGTCGGCAGAGGGCATTTATTGTGAAAAGTATCCCCCATCACTGAGAACATTGATTGCTACATGTTCCTGTGAGACTCTCAAGTCTTCCAGGCATCTCTAATCATTGTTCGACACCTTGAAAGACAGACGCCCCTGTTCAAAGTTAAAGACTGGCCTGTGTCAGGTGCTAAAGAAAACATGTAACCTCATCCCTTCCTCGCTCAGCTCCCCCTGGAGGTAGCGACTCTAATTCCTCCATTCTCACTCCCTTTTCCCCTTAGTCTGCTAATGATGATGAGACCCACTCTCTGCTCCCACTCTCTCTCTTGTCCCTTAAGGCTGAGCGATGGTATTTGGGATCGGACACTGTTTAGTTATTGGCCAACAATGGAGAATGTCTTTTAATAACACACCTACTACAGATTAGGTGGTAATTGCAGCCTTAATCAATAAGCTAGCTGAGCGGAAAATTAAAGGTACGTGAAGCCCAACCCCCCCCCCCCCCCCCCCCCCCCTCTCCTCTGCAACCTCAACACACAACATGTTTTTTGGTATTAGGCCCATTGTTCAGATGTGGCCTAGTGAAAACGCTGGAGGGCGAAAGCAGAGGGCTAGGAGCGAGGAGGGATCTGACAGTGATAAATAGGCCTTTTAATAACAGCTGTGCCACTTGGGTAGCCATTCTGATCCTTTCCCATCGTCCTCCCTCCCTCCCTTCCTCCCCCCACAATGAGGGAGCACATTTACATATCACAGTGGAGACTTAGTGGTTCATACTGGATTGTAAACAAAAACATGTACGTGTGGACTTCACAAATACATCTTCTATGTGTGTCTAAAATAAAGTCTTGTTGTTTTGTTTGGTTTCAAGCCTCAAAAAGATAAGGACAAAAACAACACACACACACACTCGGAAATACTCCCTCACTCCCAGTTTAACAGATGGTTTGGTTAACTGAAACATCAATTATTGCATTGCCTTGGCAAGCATCTGAGAGGCTCCAGAGTGTGCGTGTGCACATGTTAGTCCTGTAGGATACGAGTGTTTGGTGAGCTGTTGACCTGGAGGAGAAAAGGGTTAATGCTACACTCCTCCAGAACAAGCCCACAGGGCATTGGTCCTCATCGGCAACAGATTTCAGCACAGCATGCTCACATTTTTGGGAACACAGTGGAATAATCCTCTCGTCATTTAGATAAATGTTTCTATGTGTGGTATTCTAAAACGTGGCAATGCAGTGCATAGTCAAAATCACACATTTGTCAAGGTTTATCTTCATTTATTTCTTTTTAAGTGATCCTTTATTAATGAAACAAAATGTCTACAGTATGTGTGATAATGACTCAAAACCAGTAACACTCTCCACTGTTTGTTACTTTCTCTTTAGTACTACAACACAATGAATGAACAACGCATGAATGGACTGCTGCCGGACCCTCTACAGATTTTTCCACGAGGTACCTAGTGACATGTTACAGTTTGTCATGGATTGGTGATGCTCACAGTCTCTATACAACATTGCAATTCATGTGTTGACAAGCAATCACAAGCAATATTAAAATATAGAAAAATACTCACATTTACCTGGTCCGAAACTATTACACCAAAATGTAGGTAATTCACTTGTGATTATGTTGGATAATATAAGCAGTTAATGACTTTAGGTAAGTAATGCAGCCTCTGGAAAACATTTAAATGTCAGTGGTTCCTTCTGTTATTTTATTGACAGTCATTTGTAAATCTACATTTATTTTTGCTTCAAGGTCATTGAAACTGCAAGCTTGTGTTCAGGCTAACCCTTCCCCAAATGTCTGGCACTGTGTCGTTTGTTTTCTTAACAGTCCTTTTCTATATTTTCATATCGTTTTTAACACCACTTTAAGTCATACTGTATATGATATTTAACAGACCCCAAGGGCAACGTTTAGTGTCTCCCTTTCCTTTGCTCTCTCTCTCTTTACATCACTCTCTTCTCTCACTGTGTGATTCAGATTTTTCCATCCTACCCAACACCAGCTGTCTCAAGAGCCCAACTTCTCAATCACAACTAATTTCAGAATAACCCTCATTTCATTTCATCATTCCTTTTCTCTACAAAGAACTGATTCCCTTTCAGCACATTTGTAAATGGCCCAGTGATGTGTTCTACAATCTAGTCAATTACTGTTTCAGCCGGCAAGACTCCAGGGAACCGGAACATACATGGCCTGAAGGTACCTATCTCAATAATTGTTTCAGCTGCCTTACACCGAGAACTGAGGGAGGGGAGGGAGGGGAGTTGAGGCAAATGGATTGGTAACACCGTGTTCCACTTATTGAAATGTCAATTGAAGTCAAGGCTCTCCTTTTCTTTCACTCATTCTCTTGCTCCCCTTGTCTATGTTTATGTATGGGGTTCGTCTCCTTCTCACCTTGTATTCTTGCTTCTTCTGGCGGGATAGACATTTAAATGCGAGGTGGGATTTTTTTAATCCCCCTCCAGAGTATTATGTCTCTCATTCCCTATGATAGGAAGAACATCAGCCTTGGTTAGAGCAAAAACTAAGTCGATAAGAAGATGTTATTGTTCAACCATGAAATTGTCATTACAAACGCCCCCCCTTCTGCCATTCACAAATGGCCTTCCACAGAACTTCCCCTTTTATGTTGGGCATATGTTGCTATTGAACCTCATGCTAATTACCATGGGTTAAATGACTTGACACCGCCTCCATCTCTCCAGATGATCCATATTATATCCATCTTCATTTCAATAATATTATCACCCCCCCTTTCCAAATACTGAGAATGCTTTATTTAATGTATCCTCTGAGGAGCTTTGGAAACAACTACTGAACTGTGTCAGGTTTTGTTAAGGTCAAGGGTCTGTGTTGATAAGATGATGTTTTCCAAAAACCTTAAATGCTTTGGTAATCTTTCCCCTCTTTTCTCCCATTTTAATATAAAAGTAATTGGCTGAGGGGAGTCTTGTGAGCTGTTTGAATTAGGTCTTCCTGGGCACTAATTAAAGAGACAATCCCTGTGCTTTAGTGGACCCAACACAGCAGCCCTTTGACCTCAATTACATGAGTTATTTTTAGTACACCCTTTACAGGGTCTTTAGTGTATGATATCTGGGTTGAGTACAAAGGGTTTTTGGCGTGAACATAGATTAAGATAAATCAAAGTAAAGACCAATGTCCCCTGTTAAGCACAACCAAATGTGTTTGTCTTGACTTCATTTTTGGAACGTCTGAGTCTTCAAATGGTTACAGTGCACAACGCTGGTTCGATTCCACCTTGGGACCTTTGTTGTATATCATACTCCTCTTTCTTTCTCTCTCTCTTTTCCTCATTTCCAGTCTTCCTCTATGTTGTCATCTGTCCAATTAAGGAAATAATGCCCCAAACAAATACAAAAAAACACCTTAATTTTTCACAGATTTGTCCAAATAAATTCGGTTTTAATCTAAATGTTTGTACTTTTATACAAATATATTTTCACTTTCATCTCCTTTCCTCCCTTTTGCCTCTTGCTGTCTGTCCTCCTTTCCCCTCCTTTATGCGGACACCTCCTTCCTTCTTCCTTGCCTGCCTCCCTTCTCTCCTACGAAAGTCAATTAACCTCCAGGCTGAACAGAGAGCTTCGGTTTTGTTCTTGTTCATTAAGGGGTCTGGCCATATGTCTGTCTCTCTCTGCCTGTCTTCTGGCCTTGACCAGAGTGTGTGTCTCTGTGTGTGTTTGTGTTCTTTCATTTTTGTGTTTTTACACCTACAGGTTAATACAAGACCCAACCCAGCAAATGACTGCACTCAAGCTGTCTCGGAATCCATGGCCAACAACAGGTGAGCTTGCTGGGGCATAGGGAGCATGTTACACCGCCTGGAATACACAGTGGAAAGATGTTTGAGAACGTTTGTCAACTGTGCTGTGTTCCTTCCTGCAGCTTAAAAAAATCATCTGCAGAGCTGAAGAGGATCCTGACAAATGGGCAGGTGAGCCGGTGTTCTGGGTTTAGGTAGAATTTCACAGCTGTTGTCTCATTGCTTCTGCTCTCACACCTAGTTTCCACTGACTTCAAACACATTTCTCACTAGTGGTTTGGCTCCTCTCTTCATTTTGGTGAAGCTGACTGTGGGCACGTAATAAAGAGTGGGTATTGTCTCGTAACCATGTCATACATAATAGGAGCACAGGGTCTTTGAGTTTCCAGGATCTGCTCTGTAACAGTTATGTCTCTCTTTTAAAACAAAACACACACACACACACACACACACACACACACACACACACACACACACACACACACACACACACACACACACACACACACACACACACACACACACACACACACACACACTATCAGAGAGACAATTAGGCCAGCGACCTCTCAGGTTTCTGCTGTTACACAGGGAGCTAATAGAGCAGTTCTCTCCCCTCTCCTCCATCCCTTGCCATGGTATTAATTACATCTGGGGGACTGTGTGTTTGTTGTGTGCATGCATGCATTGCTCACATGTATGTAATTATGTTGTGATGCTTTCCTCTTTATGTCTATACAAAATGATGGTAACACTTTATATTAAGGTACACAAATGAACCATCAACTAGTTGTTAATTAACATGCATATTAGCAGTATATTGGCTCTTTATTAGTCATTATAAAACACTTATTAATGTATTTTTCTACATAATAATAATAATAATAATAATAATAAATAATATTTGTATAGCGCCTTTCAGGAAACCCAAGGTCGCTTTACAAGTCGGGTAGGGGGGGGGGGGGGGAGTAGGGGAAAAAAGGCAGACAGGTTAAGGGGGGGGGGGGGAAGTAGCGGAAAAATAAACCTATTAAACTAACTATACAGTGGCGAAAGCCTTGGTAAAAAGGTGCGTTTTGAGGGCTTTTTTGAAAATGTCCAGGGTTGGGGCGCTGCGGATTTCGGGGGGGGAGAGAGTTCCAGAGGGTGGGGGATGCCACACTGAAGGCTCTGTCGCCAAAAGTCCGCAACCATGACCATATTCTACAAGTAATAAGCCATTAGTTAAGAGTTTTTCCTCAATAACCTTCTAATTAGTGCTTATTTATTGCAAGTAAGGAAGTTGTTGTACATGAGGTTTGGTCTTAATATGCTCTGCTCAATATGGGCCCATTACATTACATTACATGTCACTTGTTAGACGCTTTTACCCAAAGCCACTTACATACTCAATACTGTGGGTAATCCCCACAGGAGCAATTTGGGGTGAAGTGTCTCAGGGACACAACGACATGCTGACTGCAGTGGGGTTTGACTCTAATTGACCTGAACAGGTTCCTTATTCTAAAGTTGCTTCCTCTTCACACTTTGCAAATACATTATAGCACACAACTACTAAATTAACCTCAACAGTTCATGAACAAAGTAGGCACACGTTGAAATATCTGTTGAATTAATGAACCACTAAAGAGAGGTTCAGACACACATACCAAAACATGTCAAGTTTCTCCAAGGCTGAGAACACATAATGCAGCCTGTTCAAAATCAGTTTTTATTAAAAAGTACAGATTGTATGTATTTGTTATCATACTGTGTGACCTGCTTGTATGTACTTACACAATAGGTGTACTGTTCTCTATGTGTTGTACTGTCTCAGTGTGAACATAGATTAAACAGGCAGCCAAACTCTTTTGAGAGCCAGGGAATGAGCAGCCACGCTCCTTTACAGACTTATTTGCACGCGTGGAATATAGGGGTTACAGTCATTGCTTTCTGACGGACTTGACCCTTTTACTCTTCAGGTTGCATAGGGGAAATTAGTAGTAGTCTACTGCTATGCTATTCAGTTCACTTTCTCCTACTTCCTGTCTAACCTTCAGAACAAATCTTACAAAAATATAAATGTGCAAATATGAAACATACAGGTCAATATCACCTTGCTATTGGTAGCTGAACTGTCAATACCCCAACACATATTCTTAGATATAAATACCACATTTTGAGTTATTTAGACACAATGAACACTTATAGTTTCATGTCTTGTTACATAAGAATAGATCATATTTGTTAAGTGTTATTATGGGAGAATTACTATTCTTGTGGTACTACTGCCTTATTGGCCCATATTGAGCAGAGCATATTAAGACCAAAACTCACGTACAACCACTTCCTTACTTGCAATAGATAAGCACTAATTAGAGCGTTATTGAGGAAAAACTCAACTAATGGCTTATTACTTGTAGAATATGGTCATGTAGAATAAGGCATTCATAAGTGTGTTATAATGACTAATAAAGAGCCAATATACTGCTAATATGCATGCTAATTAACAACTAGTTGATGGTTCATTTGTGTACCTTAATATAGAGTGTTACCAAAATTACTTTTGGTAGCCCCACATTGAATTAACAACACACTCGGTTCATACACATGTCAAATGAATTGTTTCAATTCAGCATGGTCTGGGGAAATAATCAATTGCAAACTTATTTACCAGACATTATGAATTCTGGCCATTTTGGATGCAAATATTACATTTTAAATAACTTATTTTGTCAATTTGTAGATTGTCAGCAAACACAAACATTTTTTCAATTAGGAATTTCCTGTTTTATTCACAAGACATAAAATATCTTAAATGATAAGGAATGTCAGTTTTATATCATAGTCATATTTTTATAAGATCTGACACTTCAAATCAAAGTAGAGTGGAAGGACGACTGCAAACAAATCATCATCAAACTCTACATCAGTTACTCCCCCACTCACCAAAGCACAACGTCTTTTTATAAATTGGGCAGTAAATGTTGTATTGATCTGCTCTTCTCCTCCTTCTGTCCCTCTTTTCTCTCCTTCTGTCGCTGAACTTGTAGTGACCTGAATGATTGTCTTGTTTATAGACTCATGTGACAATGTAATCCTCCCTCTCTCTCTCTCCTTCTCTCCCTCACCTGTGTAGTTACCTACTATCCATTGGTTGCATGTCTTCTCATGTTCTAACATGTAGGAACCATTATTGTTTACCTGTGCCTGCAGATAAGTGCCCAAGACATCAACTACCAAGAGCAGCTGGGCCATGGAAACGGAGGCACAGTTTACAAGTAAGTTGTTACTGACTCTCACATTCAGGCCCAACATTACAAGGCCACAGCACACTAACAGATAGTGACCCTGAAGAGATACCTGCTGAAGTAGGGGGGGGTTCTGAATGATTTACACAGGGACGTCAAAGTCTCTATGTAGTGCAACATTTAAGGAAGAATGTCTCAATTAGTGGCCAGTTCTAGAGCTTTCTGCTTAGTTTTTATGACAAACGAATCACTCTGCAATAAGGGATCTGTGAAGGGTCTCTTTTGTTCCCCACCCTTCCTTCGTTCCTTCATTTGTCCATGTATCTTTCAGTGTTTTTGTGTGACATCGATCAGGCTGCTTTGTGTCTTTACCTTCATTTATTTATTCTGGTTTGAAGGTTGCAAACATATATGATATTGATTCGGGTTTGTAAGCTATGACAGCAATTGACTTAATCTGTCTATAGCTCTGCACATTACCTGCCACAGTAGGAGAGCTCCATCCTCTCTGGCCAGACAAATGTATTACTGCCCCGCTAACGTTATGACAAGGTTGGCATTTGTGGCGCTCCCTCTATCCTTCTTTTCCCCATCTTGTGTTTTCTACTTCCCATCAATCCTCAGCTATTGAGCTGTTTTATTGAGATTGAAGTATTGATCACTGCTCAGACTAACCTTGACTTGACAGAGCGGTCGGTTTCACACAGTCCCCAGCAAACCCAGTAAATGTCTCATCTAGTAAATCCACAAAACTGTCGCTTTTTTATTTTCACCCCCTTTCTTTCCAACGCCCTTTCACGGTTTTATGACTGCAGCAGCTCCATTAAGAGCCAATCTCTCATAGATGTTGGAGAATAGGATTGTTGATCAGTTTGGCAACAAAAATGGTTACACTGCAGTGGGAAAGGCCAATATTGCAAGCCCAACAACTTCTCAGTCAATTTAGTCCAGCAAAAAAAATCCATACGCTTTGGCGCTAACATTTTATGGTTGGAAGACGATACAAAATAAAAAAACACAGATAAAAAAAACCTGGACTGTTTGTCCGTGATATTTTTATGTTGGAATTGTTTTTATTCATGCTAATTTTAACCAATATATATTTCACTTATTTACAAGATGAAGCCCTTTGAGCATGTCCCAGAACACATTGCCCAAAATACATATTGCACACTAATTCTCAGCAGGTTTCAAGTATGTGGTGTGTTCATACTGTTAAAGTGATGAATATACTCAAAACGGTTAATATCTAAACTAAAAACATAAATTATTTAGTGTGCAAGTAGTTTTTTTATTGACATTTTGATTTGTCAGCTGGAAAATCACAGGTAAAGCAAAGCTTAATGGATGGCTGGTTCTACTCTGATCTTGGTATAACACATGTATAAATCTAAACAAATCATCAATTATATAAATAAAGCTGCTATGTATCTCTCATAAAGTTATACATTTACATTTTGAAGATTATAAATTGCATACAATCTGAGATCAATCAAAGTTCATAAGGTTCAGCACCATTTTTGGATCTTCAAAACGTTATTTGTTGTGTGTCTGATAAATAATAATGCTCTGCTACCAAGAGTGTCTACCTACAGACGTTTGGCCAGTTTAGAAGCGTCTTCATTTTCTCCACACAACTGAGTACAGCTAGGTCCACACTTAAACTGGGCTATGTCAAACTGATCCAGCTGCATCCTTCCTGGCCTGCCTGTCCTCTCTGCTGAGTCAGCAGTAGCTTAATAAGCAGCAACCGTGTTCTGGGAAGCCTCTTTTTCTGCAAATGTTTCGAAGTCGGTACATTCTGTCTCCATGTAAAATCATTCTTAAAAGAGTCCTCGCTCAGGCCTTGTCAGCAAACCTGTATTACCAAGCTCCATCCAGCAGCATCACCTGCCATTAGATCCTCTTTAAGAGCAGGGCACAGCTGACAGCTCGGCTGCTCCATCAACCCAAGTGTCTCATGCATTTAATTGCAACTACAGCAACATAGGTTCGGTAATTGTAGACCACAGTTCAGATCTGGCTAACCTGAGCGGTGCCTGTCCAATTTAAAGACACACCAGCACTTAATGCATGTAACCCTACACTTTGCAGGCCTGACTAATGTTGATAAGGTACTTAAAGAACAACTTAAATACTGATATTTTGCTATAAAACAAGTAAATTAATATAGTCAGTTTATATATCAAACAGAAAGGTATGAGACATGAGACAGTATGAGCCTATGTTTGTGGTCTTTATGCGTGTATAAAAGAAGACTGGTCATTAGAACCCGAGGATATAAGTGTTAATTGAATTGGTGGGCTTGAGATTGTCTTCTATAAATATTTGTTAACTGTTAATTGCTTCCCTGTCTTTATTTTTTATTATTTAGTGTGTCCAATTGGTTTCACCTTTGATGTGTAATAGACAGGTTGTCAGTCACCTGATTAAATAATGGTGATTTGCTGACCTCTGTGTAGCTTCATATTTAGTTTGGCTGGATTTTTCACTTCAACATTTCAATTAAATGATAGCAAGGCATATCAAACCCTCTTCTCTTCTCTGTAAATAACAATTTACAAATATTTGCTGCCAAAAGTAAATTGGATTATTTTGAGATAAAAAGTGTTCAGGAAATGGACCAATCTTTTTCAGGCTGTCCTCCTAAAAATCTATCATGTGGGGATATTCCTAAAGTTCTGAATAGGAAGCTCTGATTATTCAATCAGGTGCGTAAGCTGAATGAAATGTGTTAAGGATGACCCCAACCATTGTTTTATGTAGTTTTATTTTTGTTTAGTAATTGTTCATTATTTTTGTTTTGTTTGGTTGGATGTAACTACAGAAAGAAATCCAATTTTCAAACATCAGCTGAAGGTCATCTCAACTTTTTACTAGGGTTGTATGTTTTGCAACTCTACCTGTTTAACATTGTACCCATCAAAGTAATTGCGGAGGTATTTGGCCAAGTCAGAATCAATCAAATAGTCATGAAGCTGCCACTAAATAGCTACATTTGCATTGTGTCATGTCAGGGGATGCCTGTAGCAAATCAAGTACCATACAGAAAAGTAAAATACATTCAACATCATGGGTAAATTGGGCATATCAATTACATTAGGGAGGCGTGTGGCGCAGAGGACTAGTGCGTTGGTGTTCGGATCAGGGGGGGCACAGGTTCAAACCCCACGGCAGTTGTGTCGCTGGGCAAGACACTTCACCCCAAATTGCTCCTGTGGGGATTGCCCACAGTATTGAGTATGTAAGTCGCTTTGGATAAAAGCGCCTAACAAGTCATTTAATGTAAATTACTTTGCCTTTATTTAGCTGCCACTTAACCAGTACATCAACTTCATCAAATATTGTGTTCTGCTTAAAGTACTCAATTTACATGCAATAAGACAAAGGTTTTTATGTATTTATTGTATGGCTCAAGGTGAAGTTTGAACTTCAAGTTAGAAGATGTGTAGGGTCATGACTTTGGTGAGCGGTTGCTAGTCTCCCTCCATAGTGACGAAGTAGCAAGACGGGCTGATGTTAATGGTTTGCGGCCTAAACTAATCATAGCATGATGTGTTAATATTCACTCTGGTTTTAGAATGGCTGTTTGCTTAAATTATTGTTTTTCTGATTTAAAAAAACTATTTTTGTTAAACAAAACACTGTATGCATACTCACCAACCGCTGAACCCTTTGGTCCAGCTTATATTAAGCTTATCACGTGTGAAAACACCATCAATGGCTCCCTTGCCTTTTAACCTCTTAGCTTAGCCCATTTATGACCCAGAGCCATTTAGACTCAATTGGATGTTACCAGCACTTCAGCTCTCCATAGCCACACACTGACCTAGCCATCCATCAATGTCGGCCTTTGTTTTTTATTACACACTCTCAGAGGTCCATCGTGTCCAGCAATCTAACTGACTCCATGGCTTATAAATACAATAACAAGGACACACAGGCCATTTTCATGACTCATGGATCCAGTGGTGCAATTAAAACAAGCACATTTGCCTGACAGTGAATGTGGTGACATCTACCTAGACACCCATGGCTGTTCCTTCACTCTCTCAGCCCATTCTCTCCATTGATTTCGTTTTCCACCTCATTGAGTAGACTGTATATTGAACGGCCAAACCTCTTTGGTTAATTGGTGGTCACCTTGTATCTTGTATCCAAATATGTTCAGATTGTGTCTAGAGGCAGTTGGGTGGGATATAGTTTTCACTAAGCATCGCAGCCTAGATTTCACCTATTAAAATATTAAGACTAGAAATTGAAAAATATATTTGTATTTACTTGCACTATATATATTTTTCTGTGTTGCAATGTTGGAGTGAGCCTGTGACCTAAGATTTTCATCGTCATAACTACACTGTAGCTATGTTCATATGACAAATAAAAAAAAACTTGGAACCGTGATGGGAAGACTGTTCGGCTCTTTGAGTGCTCTACATACAATAAGGCTAAATTATAAAAAAATGTAAGCGGAGAAAATTGTGTAAATTATAAAACCTACAATGCACCGCACATTTCTGTTGTACGCTTAAGCAAGTTGTAACTTTTAGCAGCTTCTACTGTCCTTGCCAACACTGGCATTGTCCAGGAAGGTGACGTAGCTCAGGATGTAGTGAAGTCATCTCGTAATCATAAGGTTTCCGGTTTCCAGAGTGTCATAAAGTTTCCTTTAGCAAGGCAAGGCAAGGCAAGTTTATTTATATAGCACTTTTCAACACAAGGCAATTCAAAGTGCTTTACAAAAAATGAAAGAGAGTGCTCGACACTGCACGACACTGAACCCATTACCACTCCCTATTGACACCCTGAGTGGCAGCCCCTGCCATCAGTCTATGGATGTGTTTGATTGTTGGCGGTTTCCAATCTTAAATGTTCTAATGTTCCCTTCATAGAATTAAAGAATATCATATTTCACTTTTTTAGTGTGGTAAGATATAAAGACAACAGACCTTTCACTGTTGTCAGTCTAACATCTGAGATGCTGTATATCTAGTAAGCACTTTGTGTAAAGTTGTGTGTACATACATGTCTGTCTGTGAATGTGTGTGAGGTTTTTGCCTCACCTGTGTCACTTAGGACACCTATTATAGCGGTATCAGGTGAGAGCGTCTGGGAGAGAGAAAGGTGTCCCGTCAGCCATGTGGCAGTGTAAACCATCACGTTAGCCCTGATCCAGAAGGCCAGTCTCTCCAACTTCAGAGACATGGAGAGGGGCCTTATGAATACTGCATGATGGAGCTTTTATTACAGAGCGAGCTGGAGTGTAAATAAGATCCAGGCAATGGGGCACGTTTACTGAGGTCGGATCAGGGGAAGTGGTGGGGGGTGGCTATGTAACCTTGTCCCCATGTCTCCCGCTGTCATAAGCCTGTCACTGTAACTCATAAAGGGCTGCTCGGCCCTGAGGGGGCCAAGGACAGTCTGAGAATAAAGCTTTAACCAAGCAGTAGTCACACCTTATCTCCAGGCCCTAAAACATGCCCATCACACGTATTTGTTAAAACTTTGGAAACTCTTCTATTCTATTTTACACATACATTTAATTCATATAGAAAGAAAACCTGCTTATTGTGCTTGAATTTATATTATGGGAATATTTATTTATATTCCTATGTTAAGCATATTTAAGACGCATTCAATGAATGGCTTTAATGTCTGTTTGCCTAGATCTTACTATGGCCAAAGTCAATTGCAGACAGAAGGGATATTTTACATGAAGGTACATACACAAAAAATGTACGCATACAAACTTGTACACAAGGTGTCCGACGTACTCTTCTCATGTGTCAAAGCAGTAGTTGGATGCATTCTGCCACGAGCTGGGTTTGTCTTTCAGCGCGTCTAGACTTCTCATTGAGAAATACATGTCGTTCAGCACGGAGATGACTTGCTTTAATCTCTTTTCAGGCTGCTTCACACACACAACCTGCCCAGCCAGTACTTAACATGTCTACCCCTGCAATCCTGCCTCAATTAACATTTTCATCTTAATTAAGAGGCAGCACTCATGCTTAACTGATATTGATTGTAGCTTAAAGGAAGATCGAGACATTAAAATGGAAACAAGGCCGTCAGCGATGTGCAAAGAGCTTTTTAACAGAGAAGATGACACCTAAGATCAAAAACACTCATGGGCAAAATAAACTGAAAAATAACTGTGTCTTTTATATTACATTTCCCACTTTCAGCCTTTTGTGTAGACTTTTGGTAATAGCTATTTTCACCATCTCTGCAGTTTATGTTGTTTTCGCCTTAGCAACAATGAGACTGTTATCAAAGATGTGTAAACCACAGCTCACATTCAGCACTGCACAGATACTTCCAAAGCCCAGTGTTTGTTCTAACTCTAAATACTTGACATGGCATGGCTTTAATTAAAGGCCCTGTCCTGTTTTAAGGTGTCTGGCCGAAGAGCAATGTGATACTCTAATCTAAGCCGCATTAATCACACCTTGCACCGTACGCGTTCTCTGTGCTAGACCCACGGACAGCTGAGTAGCCAGGTATCACATTCACTAACCCCTCTCGAAAGCTAACCGGGCCGTGTGACGTACGCGGCCCCCTCCTCATCCCCATCACCTGACAGCTGTTGGACAGTATTCGTCCTTGAGGATTGTGTGTTGAGAGGTCCTGAGATATTGTCACTGTAAACTAACCTTCAAGGGCTGTAACTAAAGCCGCTGTTTGGCATAAGGAGTTTGATAATGAAGTCATTATGAGGCCAGTCTGGGGCCGCTGCTTCTCTTGCAACTCAAAACTCTGTCTGGAACAGCGAGTGATAGGGCTGACTGGATCTGGTTCTGGGTGGTGACCTCTGACCTTTGAGAGAAATTAGAGTGCTATTTAGTCATGTTAATTTGAACTCTAATAAGACTTATCAACTAGCAGATCTATGGAGTTTTTATTGCATCGTCATTTTAGTCTTTTATTACCTATGATGTAAACGTTATCCACAGGTGTACTACATTATTATTACAATACTTAACCATTTGTAAATGATTGAGCACAGCGGGGCAGGGTGAAAGGGATTTTCGTGTATGGGAAGTATAAATGGACCCTACATTAATAAATAAATTATATGATCAGTTATTTACTTGGAATATACAACAATTAACTAAAGACCCTATTTAAATGAACAATGAAAAACAGCCTTCTACAATTTTGTTTTACATCTTCATTTTCGTATCTCTAGAGCGTACCATGTTCTGGGCAAGCGGGTTTTAGCTGTCAAGGTAAGAACTCCTTCAATGTTGATGATCGTAAATGCTCTTTAAAGTGACCTAAGCATAAACACAACTTACATTTGTTGCCACCATGTTTTATAACAGGTCATTCCTCTGGACATCACGGTGGAATTACAGAAGCAGATCATGTCAGAATTAGAAATTCTCTACAAGGTAAGTTTTGACTTGTTATTTTTTTATTTTTTTTATACCCTAAACCGGATCTACATTGTAAATAAACCACGAGTCTTGAAGCAACCTATATCGTCTCTGGTCTTACAATATAAGCCAGGGATTAGGGAACACGGAAACACACGCAAGACACACGTGGACTAGGCATGTGACTTTAATGATCACCTCCTTTGAAACTCTTAGTATGCATATAAGGAGTTCTTTGTGTCTCCCCTAAAATGCAGAGGCCAAATCATTGTGAGGACAATTTTCTCTTATAATGAGCATGAATGCATTGTGTGTTGTGGTGAGCCTGTAATAGCGAACATCCACTGGCCTGTACTCAGTATATTGATGTGTTTGGTCAGCTAGCCCTCTTTTCATGCAATATGTATGCAAATAAATTATATATATTTCCAAGCGTAAACATCTGATGGACTTCAAATGGATGCTGTTGATGATTTTACGCACTGACTAGAATCAGATTTTTTATCTTCAAGATCAAATTGTATATTTTCTACTTTTTAATGTTGTATTATTTCTATTTTGAGATTTTACATTTTAAAATAGTTTATTTCTACTCTTTAAATTGTTTACTTATGTGCAATGCCTTGTTTTTTATGCTGCTGCAACACAAACATTTCCCAATTTGCGATCGATAAAGTTCATCTTATCTTAAAGCGTTAGACGAACATGAGAAACTTTGCACGATTTAGCTCCACTGTAGCCATTTTGCATTCAAACCTGTAATCAAATTATCACTTTTCGCTCATTTACTATCAAAGAAACTCTTTTTTTGCATGCTCTTTAATGACCTTGATGTCTCTTCTCTTGATTGCAGTGTGATTCGCCGTATATCATCACTTTCTTCAGTGCCTTTTTTGTAGAGAACAGGATATCCATATGCACAGAATTTATGGACGGTGAGTTTCTCGGTGGCTCGAGTCAGTAGATCATGTGTTTTATGGTTTTAGCCACAGCTGTGTAGAAGAGACTTTGGGGAGCTGTTCTGTCTCTCGGCTGTGTATCCATTTACACTTCTGCAGATCAACAGAACGTCTTACGCTGTGAGCTGCTTAGCATGCCTGTGTGCTAAAAGCTACGAGGGCGCGATAGATCTCGACTTGAGTGCATTTGTAGGTGCGTTTGTACACGTGTGTATAGACTGGTGTGAGATGAGGGACTGTCTATGTTTTTAGTTGCGTGTGTTTGTCAGTGTGTGTTAATGCAGTGATTCCCCTGTTTCACACATCAACTAGGACATCAGCAAAGTCTGTCTAACCTCTCAGCACTCTTTGCTTCATGACACATCTGATCAGTCACTTCCAGTTAGTCTAGAAATGAAGGTGAAAAGTTGACGGCTTAAAGAAACATCAATAACTTTGTCCTTTTGTTTCTTGTTTTATTCATATGGAAAATAATAATATGTGTAGACTCACTATAGTTTTAGGTACATTTTGAAATATAACAAGTATGTGTCCTCTACATTTAAACAGTCTTACATATTATGCAGCAGACAGCTTTGCAAAGAAGGTCCAATCACTTGGAAACATTGGAAAAGTTATTATTATTTAGTTTTCTTTGTATATTTTATGTGTTTATGTTTTGAACAATACAAGTTGTCATTGAAACATTGTGGGATTGGCAGTTCTGCATTCAGAAGTGCTCATCGTTCTTCCTAATTATGAATATGTTTAAAAAATATTTTGTGTGAATGTTCAGTGTAAGAGAACCATCATGTCTTTGTTTGGGACATACTGCTTCTGAATCAGCACGCCTGTTTTTATGTGCGAAAAAAGGCAATGAGGGTATTTGTTCAACAAATACCCTCATTGCCTTTTTTTGTAACATTTCTCAACAGTTGAGAAATGTTACAAAATGTGTAATGCTGTATCACTGCTTGATTAAATAATTTGTCTTTGGCAGGTGGTTCTCTAGACGTGTACAAAAGAATTCCAGAGCATGTGCTGGGGAGGATCGCAGTAGCAGTAAGTTTGAATGAAATACTTTATCTCCCTTTCAGTAGTTTGAATACTAAGTAAACAGCATTAGACTTAACAGGTATCCCTTAGTCTTTCAAAAACAATTTTTTTTATGTGAGATTGTCCCATGTGTTCCTAGAATCAACATTTTTAAATGCAACCTGTTATTTGTTTATGGGATGCAGAAAGCCTTAGGAAAAAACTCCTTTTATTAAGGAAATAAAACAAAAGAGAACCACAGGTGTGAATTGTTTAATTGGTTTCTATTTGGTGAAGTAATGGACAAAGTCAGTGTTGTATCTCCCTCTCTTTCTGCTCTCATTTAAACTAGCATTTTGACAGAAATGGCCTTTTCCAAACTCATTACCCTTCTCCTGTCGTTTCTGTCTCCCGCCCTTTAACTTTGTCCGTAATCAAACAATGACAGCTATTTAGTCAGTGTTAATTCTAATTCACAGCTTTCCCTCCTTCCCACTGTCACAGTTGTTAATTATCACAAAAGGGAAAGCACCAGAGAGGGTGTGAGTGAAGCTGCACGCTGCAGTATTTGCACTCACACCACCGCCTTTTGAGGCAGCGGGACTTCAGACAGCTTTTTGCTTTCTTAATTTAAGTTGCCATGCTTCAGAGATAGATGTCAGCAGTCGAGAGGCAAGAATCAGCTCCAGCATCACTTGAAGGAAAGCAGGATTACTCTATCAAATACGAAACTATCAAATATAATCATTTAATGGCTGCACAAATGAAAAAGTCTCCTATCTTACCCACTTTACTCTCAGCAGTGTGCGTTTTCCCTTCCATATCTACCCCGAGTCATTTGTACAAGTTCAAACCCTAACTAGGTTCCCTAACAAACTGAATTGTTCTCAATGTGAAGGAGCATTTACCGAAGTCCTTCCTAATTGCTCAGCTCCTAGGAGACAAATCTCCCTTTGAAGAAACACTTTCTTGTTTGCTTGTATCTGCAGTCTTATTATTTCAGTGACTACCCAATTCTTTGAGCAGAATGGAGGACCGTAACAAAGATTGAGCTGTAAATTGCGAGTTCGGACTTTTCTTTTTACCCCACAGTCCAATACACAGTCTAAACAAGTTCAGCCCAGACACCTACCTAACTGTAGTGCATTTTAGGATCCTTTACCCTGGTATTAACACTTAAGGATAGTCAAATTCTTCTACATCAGCCAGATCCCCCACTCATCTAGGCTAAGTGAGTAGGAGTAGTAAGTAGGGAGATCTCGGCAGGGAGAATTATGCGATTACCGATATCAACTACAATAAATAGATATAAAAGCCTACTAAGCTCTGCCTTACCGTGATGTAAACAGGATCATTGCCATTTTGATGCCAAAGTTCATCTGTTTTTCCTCTCATCTGTGCCTTCAGGTAGTCAAAGGGCTGACGTATCTGTGGAGCCTGAAGATACTTCACAGAGGTGAGTAAGGTAGTGTGCGGGAGCTGTGTTATTAACAAAAGAGTTGATAGCGACTGGCTGTACAGTGCTGATGCTGCAGTTCTATCAAGCAGTTTGTCTCCGCAGATGTCAAGCCTTCCAATATGCTGGTGAACACCCGAGGACAAGTCAAGCTCTGTGACTTTGGTGTCAGCACACAGGTACACTGGTTTGTTTATGTGAGCATGAAAGAGAGCAAGAGCGAGAGAATGGAAGAAGAAACACGTGTGTGTGGTTAACATTTCAATCACTGGCTTCATTTTCAACTCAAAACATCGAGGCGATCCCAAGGGTCTTCCTCTCACATTAACATCCCCCCCACCACCATTGTTCTGCAGCCTCCAAAAAAATCACTTGTTATAATTATGACCCGCACACACACACACACACAACGGCAAAGCCCCATTGATATGTATTCAGGAGATGTGGGGAAAGCGTGGGTAGCAGACAATAGCCTTGTCATTGTGTGTGGGCGTGTGTGTGTTTGAAATGAAATCATAAGGGACAGACCTTCAACGTTCCCCAAAACAACCCTGAGGACTGTGTCCCTCTTTTAAACAAACACACACACACAATCATTTCCTTTCATCAATTTTTAACCTCCACTTCCTTTAAAGATACAAGGTGAATTGTACACCCTGCACGGATAGCTGGACTCTGTAACATTGACTTGCCCTCAATCTTTTTTAACTCTGTTTCTGTTTACGTTTCCTTCACACATACACACTCTCCCTCCCCCTATACAGTCTATGCTCCCCCCTCTCACATCGTAGGCCATGAGGGAACAGACACTCATTATCACAGTACTGTCATTGATGGCATGGGGCATTGTACACGCACACACACTCACCAATGTCTCCTTGTCGTACTCCTGTTCCCCTTTGCAAGGGTTGAGAGCATCCCAAAATATCAACCTGACATATCGATACATTTAGATGCAATTTAGGTCCAACTCCTATCTCTATTTTTCTATATATACTGTAGGACACCAGAGAATGACTCTATAACAATGCTTAATAAAGTCAATGGAATAGTCATATTTTATTTTGGACTGCAGCATTATTATCTGCTTATCCACTGTTTCATCTTTTGTTTTGCAGTTGGTGAATTCTATTGCCAAAACGTATGTTGGAACAAATGCATACATGGCAGTAAGTGATCCTCTCAGTTCCTTCTCTGTCTCAAGTTATTTAAAAGTTGTATAAGTAGATGAGGTAATTGTCATTCACAAAGTTTGTCCTCATGGTTTTTGTTGTTTGTTCTGTGCTCCACAGCCAGAGAGGATATCAGGAGAGCAGTATGGTATCCACGCAGATGTCTGGAGTGTGGGAATCTCTTTCATGGAGGTGGGACAAAGTATATATTAATTCACACTATAGCAGCTGGAATTTGTACATTAAAAAAGGTGTAGGATATTGATGGAGGTGACACTAAATTATAGCAAAAGTGGTCTGTTTTTTTCTAATAACAGTCCAAATTGAGTTTGAAGATACATGTACAGTATGTGTAGCTTGACGACACCCTGTGCTTTAAAATTACATTTTAGTTTTAGTGGGACATTCCCTGGTTTCTTTTCCCCCGGCTGACATTATTGATTCACCCTCCGTCCCTGTCCAATAATCACTAATATATTTACATTTATAACAATAATAGATGTGTTCAGAGGAAAGCAGCCATGTCACAAGTATTGACACGATCTCTCTGTGATAAAGATGTATAGCAGAGGACCCCCACCCCCCCTTGCCCGGTTCTCTTTATTTCTCGCTGTGGGTGTGTGCATTAAGCCAAATGAAATGGCTCTAAGTCCCATTACATTTGGATTGATCTTCAGCCTGCTAGTTGGTCTATTTATGTTCAAGGAAAAACTGTGAGCGTTTTGACTTTTTAATAACATAATGTTGCCAATAAGCTGCCCTTGACCAAGATGAAAAATGCTCACCCCGTGTGATTTGCCAAATGTCAGAGAGAGCTGTCACCCCACCCCCAGCCAGAATAACACACACACACACACACACACACACACACACACACACACACACACACACACACACACACACACACACACACGCACACGCACACGCACACACATATTCCATACAACCGTCCCACAATCCTGTCCTGCCTCTCTTCATCCTACCATTTTATTCCCCGCAGGTGGTAATCGTGGGGGGTTATTAACTAATAGCTGGTGTTGTTTGATGAGGAAGTGTAATCAGCAGGTGGGCACTAAGCTTACCCCAAAGACAGAAAGTCCCACATTCGGTAGGCTTCAGCGGCTTTAGCAGCATTTTCCTTCTGTATCTTCAATGTAATGTCATTAAGACACTGACAATGGAAAGGCCTGAATACATTTAATGCAATTTTCTCTTACTAAAAACATGGATATGTTCATCAATCATAAATGCCTTTCTAGTTCATTGGGGTTCCAATCCAGCAGCCATACAAGACATTCTACCTTTTTGAAGCATCATTTGTGAGATAACATTTGACGCAGGGTCCCTGTGCTAGTGGTGTACACACTTACACTCTGCATGCATCACGTTCTATCCTTCACACGGACCAAAGTTCCCTTATATTATTATTTACATTATCCCTATTAGCATTGGATTTAAATCTGAAATATTGCCAAAAAGGCGCTTTTTCTTTTTGCTCCTTGGCCATTGTCTTATTGGTCATGTCTCAGTGAAAAGCAAAAACCTGTTTTACATGTATTTACAGATATTGCCACAGTACTGACGAAACCTTTTCCTAAAGAAAATTATTTTTTCTTTCTTCTTTACACAGTTGGCGCTAGGCATGTTCCCCTATCCACAGGTGAGTTCATTTCAGTCTCTAATTATTGAATTATCTTTAGGCTAATTGTTTTTATGGCATGTCCATGTATTTGGCTGTGATGAAAGATGACACTATCAGAAATCCTGATGTTTGCTATAAATAATTATCACTACTGTAAATAATTACCACTACTGTTTCTTAATCCTTTTTTTGTTGCTGTTTTGTTCATCGTCTTTTCATTTATATGAAACCTTTTATGCTGCCCTCTTTGCCAAGACTGTCTTGTAAAGCAGAAGTTGAATCAAATTGAGAGTCATCCTGGAAAAATATAGCTGAAACAAATTAAATAGTGAGGTACTCATCATGCAGTTTTTGACCTAAAAAATATTTTGACATCTATATTACTTTATAAATGAGTTGCTCAGTAATGATATACAACTTTAAATGTTAACATCTACTGATTTGTTGGGTTTCTTTCCTCATTTTATCTTAAAATCCAGCTCAAATGTAATTGCCGCCCTCTGAAGTAACTTCCCAATCCCATCAAGTCTTAATTAGCCCTTTTTAAGATGGGTTTATCTCACTAATCCCTATCGCAGCAATCTAAATCTGGTTACCTCAGGTTACCTCCTGGCAGCCTGCCTTTCACGAGACGGGGAGAGATATATAATGAACACTTTGTTCTTAAAGCATGATGACATAGACATATTTTTCAACACTACAACTTTACACTTTTTGTTTGACTAACATGGAAAGTAAGTCCTGACCATGTTCTGCATATTAGCATTGGTCATCATTTGTGTGTCATTTCCCTGCAGGCTTAAAGTAAGCACCACTCGGACTGCTCCGTCAGTCAAATGAAACTTTGTTGCGGTTAATTAAAGCAACCGAGTGTGATGCTCTATCAGCCCGGGGATTGCCTAATTGACGACTTCCTTTCACTTTGCCAACTATCCTTTCTGGGTGAGAGGAGACCACTTTACTTAACGTTGGAGCTGAATGATACGAGATTTCAATGATCAGCCTTCATGTGAACTCAAATGTCAAAGTCTTTTGGATTTCAATGTTAGTAACCCCAGCTTAAAGATGTTATCCTATTAATGTTCTCTCTTATGTGCTGAGAGAAACCCAAGTATGTTTTCATTGAATTACTTCAGTACCTAGTTGCGTACTTCCACAGTGAACAGCAAGTCGTGATGTAGCTATTCGCTTGTTTCCTGTGTTGATCATTAGTTCTTGAGCCATTATGAAAACATATGCACTCCTTTCTGTAAGGGAGCATAGGTGTGTTTTTAGAACACTTGAATTGTATAGTGATGTAAATGTCACACAATGATCAATCTGTGTGTGACAGCCTAGGGCATGTCGGGTTTTAGAGGGCTGTTGCTTTCATTATCATGTTAATTGATGGTGTATTTTTTTAAATAAAGGGTAGTTTATTCTACCCTCATTGATAGAAATAAGACAAAATATTAGAAAACACCTCTCAGTTTGTAGTTGAAGCTCTCCACTGTCATGCAGCTTTCCTCATCGTAGTGTTAATTTCCCCCTAACTCCATATGGTACTGCAGACCGTTCACCTGCAGGCTGTGGCAGAGCGGTGTGGCGAGAGCGCTCGGATCCAGCTCGTCAGGCGCAGCCAGCCAAAGTCCTCGGGCCTAAACTGTCATTTTTGCAGACGCTGGCACAGCTGTAGCCCCTGCTACACTTCACGGAGAACATTTTAGTACATACTGAGGGAGGAGTTGGAGAAGATGAGAGAGAATCTGTGGCATCTTGGTGGAAGATACCGGATGAGTTATTAAAGTTGGGTTTTGGTTGTCCATGATTTACCTTTTTGAAAAGCAAATGTTAGCATTGTTTGGGGTCTTAGCTTTAGCCTTTACATTCTGAGTATGAGTTTGTGATGCTTTCATTTGATGCATTATCCCTCATCTCTTTGTGCAGCACGCACAGTGGAATCATCACCTCATGTTTGTCATGATTAGAGATGGTCTCTTTAATTCCACTTCACCACATGTCGGGATTCATTTGCGTCCTTTGTCAGGAGTTAATGGAGTTTTTGCGCGGCTCGCTCTGAAAGTCTTTGAAGACACCAGATCCTATGTGATGTGTATACAGCCGCCAGCGCTATTGCTTCTGATTGATTTGTTTGCTTTATGGTTGTTTTTGTTTCTCTCCATTTTGTCATATTTTTCTCAAATTTGAATTAATTTTTGGATGAACTACCGTGTCAGTTATTTTTGTGTATGTTTCAGAAGCTTCCATTACACATCACTGCATCCATCAAACGGCAGAGACGCTTTCCCTTTGCTACTCTATTTTTCCCTCTCAAATGAAATGGAAAGAATAGTTTTGTAGTTCTGTATGCGTGTGGTTAACAATGTTTGCTGTAATTTTTCAGCATCCTATACCCGCTCCACAGCTCCAAACTTGTTTGTTTTTGCTTGGTCACATGTCCTCCTTTAAGTGATCAGTTGAAAAAAAAATCGGGGTATTAGACCCCTTTTTAGGCTTTAAATGATGTGTACAGCTACATTCTGACTATTTCTTATCATGCTATTTGTTGTCACCCAAACATTTTTGAGCTATGCAAAATGTCTGTATAACTGGCACTAATCAAACAGGTTACGCCATCTAAGTTTACCTCAACAAATCAAAGTTGAGCAGTTTTGGAGCGTAGACTTTAGAATAAAGGGGTTGCCCATGCCCAAAACATGCATGTCAACCTTTGTAGAAATTGCTTTCTGCTTTTTTTTATCACAAAGTGAGACTTTTTCTTCTGGAGTTTTCTGATTCCTTACCTTTGAAGAAATATCTCTGAACACCCTTGAGGGGGGAAATGGCCATCTGATCTTTTAGAACTATTTATTGTGTTGCTGTTAAAAGTAACAGAAATGATTTGACATCCAAAAATGGTGACTTCCTATTTTCACACTGAGCCCACTGTGATATTTTCAAACAACCCAAAAAGTGTGATGTGGCTCACAAATTGTCACAAAGCCAAACAAGGAGCTGTTGTTCTTCACAACTACAGTCGTCATTTAGCATTACACACGCGGACACACTCTCACACACACTCGGTTGCTCTCGTACACAATCCTATTGGATGTGGGTCCATTCCCAACTTCTTCAGCAAACACAAATTCGTTTCTTGTCAAACATCATTTGTGTCCTTCTTATAGGAAGAAAATGTTATGATATGCATAATTATAGTCTTTTTAAGTTTAACTATGAAACACTATTACCCTCAGGATGAACATGCAGATAATGATATGTCTACCAGATAGTCAGCCATTAGTGATGAGAGACTGTTAAAAGGATACAAAAGGAAATCATTTTGAAATATCTCTTTTTGATGCTCGGTCAATCTACCTAGTACAAGAAGAATAAGTGCTCAATTATGCTTGAATAAGTTAGTCTCCCACTATCCAATTTCAACCCATGGAGCAGCACGCTATTTTGTCCTAGTAATTATTTCTGAACAAATTAGTTTTCCATAGTTGCTTTTAATGTGTCTGAATCAGGCAAAACTGGATATAGAGGCAGTTTAGGAGCCTCTTGGTATTTGCAGAGTGTGAAAACCTGTATTTAATAGAGTGAATCAATAAGTGCTCTAATGCACTGTCAAAAAACCTAGAGAAAATAGCAATTTATTTACCAAACATTCTTAGACATTTAGCTGAGACTATAGGTTTCAGGTCCTATAGCACTCAGTCTATATGAGTACGTTGTACATTTGGGCTTTTGGAAATCCTGGTGAATTCAGCCCTGGAGGTTTAAAGAAGGAAAACGAAATGCTTTATGCACTCCCACTGTAGTATCACTTACATTTACATTAGATTACACAAAACACTCATTGCTAGATCTTTCATATTAAGACTTCCTTCTCTAGCTCTTATTTTCAAGGACTATATGTTTTGAACGGGAACATAAGAAGCGCATTTAGTAATTCGTTTTTTTGATTTGTCGACTCAACACTAGATATTTGGTGTTATTTTGTTTGCAAAGATCTGCAAACAAATCACATTTTTGCGTATTGCATAGTCTAAAAAAACAATAGCTTCAACCCCACTGTCATCATGTAACATCAAGTGTTGTACCTGTGAAACTGACACAATGAGCATGCTCCTTACAAAGCCTGCTCATACTGTTTGTAACAGTTATCCCGGCACATCTTGATAACCTGGAGGGTATGAACAAAGTACTTCTCTAAAAATGAGCATTAGTGGATCTTTTACCCCCATTCTCCACAAATGAGAACAAGGCCATTAACATTTGTGTGTTTTCATTATGTAAATGGTTGTAACGCATACTCACAAATTGCCAACAGGAAAGAAATAATTTTCTCCTAGTGATCATAATGTGTCCAAGTGTATCGTCTTGATTATGACACGCTAATTACATATTGCCTCGTCCCCTCTTTTCTGTCTTGCCCTACAGATTCAGAAAAACCAAGGATCTCTAATGGTAAGTTTTATTGCATTAGAGTAGGAAGGAAGAAAATAGGTCTCCCACACTATAGTCTGTTACTCTTGGTTGGCTCTCTCATTTGAATAAACACTCAAATTGCATTTTTACAATGAAATATTAGATCATGCTTAAACTGCTGGTAATACATTAGGTGCCATTATGGAATAATAATAAAAAACATGCCGGAGCTGAAGGATTGCTTTGGCTAAGCTCGCTGCATTTGATTAATCTAAGTAGATAGTTTTTTTTATCACACTATTGATTTTCCCTATTGCTGTGAAATTCCATGTTTTCATCTCCCTGTGTCTCTCCTCTTGCAGCCTCTCCAGTTACTGCAATGCATCGTTGATGAGGTGAGTCGTCGTCTTATGTGCTTTTGCATCTAAAGTCAGTCCTAATGGCCCGGAAAGCTTATATTTTGTTTCCTAATGAAGCAAACCACTCAGGCGGCTTTGCTCCCCATTCACTCAACCCTTCACCCTATGCAACTGCCTCAGGCAGTACACATATGCACACGCACTTTACTGTTGAGGCTGGACCTGTCACGACTGACACACTCAGCGGCACAGCTCTCCATTCTATGTACTATAGAAACAACAACAAAGCAATTGTTTAACCAGGAATATTCTTTTGACGGCCCTGTGTGTTTGTTTCTATAATAAAAGGCATAACAAAACTCTTAAATAAAGGCAATTATAATGACATAAACAGACATATGTATGAAAGATACAATAAAAAGGGAAAAAAATGTTGATGACATTTTGGCTTTAGAGGAAGTCTGCCATATTTATGCCCATTTCTATATAATATGTTTACCTGCTGTAGGTAATGTCTGATACTGAAATGCTCAAATGTTTCCCCTCTTTTCCTAATACACACATTTTTATATTTCCTTATTAATTGACATGCTATTTCCATGAGTCTGTGTGTATGGATATGTAGGCTCACACCACTAATGTGTTTTTAAAGCAGCAATCACAAGCTTTCCACACTCTTTTCTTGAGTTATTTGCTGTCGTCCAGTAATAGCAAAAATGCCACAACACCTCTCTTGCCTAAACTAGCCCCCCAAAACCCCTTCTCCAGCCGTATTACACATTAAACATACAATGTCACTTGCCCTTAACTGCCTATAGATTTGGCCGTAATTAATAATTAAATGCTTTTGGTTGTAATGGATTGACCTAGGCTGAACTGTTCATTAGTCTGCGAGACAGAGGCATCACTCAAAACAATTTTTCCTGTGCCTTACCCTGTTTCTCCCCTTGAGGCCAGAGAACGTTTTGTGTTGTCCCCTAGTGAGCTAGCACTGCCTTACTGTCCTAACTAATGCAGTGCTTTGGACGAAGAGACAAGAGGATAAGCACTATTTTGACCCAGTTGCTCAGAGAATGTATAGGACTCTAATATCTCATCTCGGCCTTTGACACAGTTGATTGTTTTTTTCTATTAGATTGATAATTTAAATCCTCACTAAAGACACGCTTCTTCTCCCTGGCCTTCTAGTCAGAGCGGAGCACGACTCCTGACTATTCCCTGTGTTTTTATATATCTGTTGTAATTTATTGTGATTGTAGTAATGTTTTTTTATTACATGTACAGCACTTTGGCTTGACCAAAAATCACTTTTAAATGTGCTTTATAAAGTAGAACTGCCAGATTTTTCAAATCTTATGAATCCAATAACGTATTCGTGAAGATTTAGGAGTTTCTCCTTTATGTGGCCCATTTGACCTGTGGCGTTCCCCTAGGCTCAACCCTCGGGCCTTCATGTTTCTGTGTATACATGATGTGGCTGGAACATATCATAGATAAACACAACATGCAGTTTTTAAGCGTCATTGTTTAGAACCCAGTTATATTGCTGGACTGCTTCCTGTTTGATTGAATGTGCCTTGTTGCCGACCTGAAATGTCCTCGTTCAACCATATAGAGCACTTTGCAACTTTGTTTTGAAATATGCAGGATAAATAAAGGTCATTATTTGTATAGCATAACTTTTAGAGGCATTTTGGACTAACACTGATCCAATGGAGTAGTTAATGTAATGATTAGGTATTTTAATTGAGCTAGACACACCTGGCTTCAACATTATGGCAGGTGTGATTAATTGTACCGGAGTCCTTGACATTTAGTAACTATTGTCCATTATACTGTAGATCCATATACTTTTTTCTTTGGTTGTGATGCTTTGATATTGTGTGACTTATCCACTGGGGCTTTGAAAGTTGCTTTAATGGCTGAATGAGTAATAGGCTGGATAGAGTGGATCATTAATATTATTCTGGCTGGAGGTATGTGTGTGGTGGGGGTTGCAGTATAACAGTCTGCCACTCTTTTTTCTTTCTTCTACTCCTATCACACACAACCACACAGTGTGTCAGGGCTGAGAAAGCCTTTCATGAGCTCAAGATAAACAAACAATCCAAATATATGTGGAGATGCAAATTAAGTTAGTTTACAGTTAGAATGTAAACAGATAGACAAAATACAAATTCTGAAATGAATTTGTATATGGCAAATAGAGACCATTTTAAAAACCCATCAACAAAGATAGAAATATAACTGATAAAATGTCACAGCTTACAAGATGAATGGAAGCAAGACTAAGTTCATCCTACCTACAAAAATAAATATGTTCTCACTAACCTAATGGTATCTAGCCATGCACGTGTCCCCATATATCCCAACATAAAGGGATTTGATGTAACTTTGTTAAGAAAATATATTTTTAATGTCATAGACGATTCAAAGAAAAGGCTCTCCATAGTTTTCCTTACAGCCCCTTTTTTCTATGTAGAAATGTGTTAATTGAAAGCAATTCGTACTGTGTTACGGAAAAAAAGTACGATTGTGGGAAAACCTAAAGCAATATTCAGCGGATGCCTGTGTAAAAATTGCTTTTCTATTAGGCCATCTTTTTATTTTTGGATGTTAATAGTGTATGGCAGAGAAACATGCTCACCTTATTCAGCTTAGGTCTTGAACGAGAAGTTCTATGGAGTTGTTCCCACCATCTGTCCGCTGTCGACCCTCATTAATGTGCCTGTCTGCTCCGTTTGTTGAATAGCAAGTGGCTCCACTAATAAAGAACTCCCACTTTATTTTCAAGCCTGTAATTACTGATCTAATTTTGCCTAATAATTGCTTCATGGCAATGACATGTATATTTACTTGTACCCTTGTACCCTCGTAGTGTGTGTTCTGTCTCAGAGTGGAGCGCATTGACAACCAGAGGAATAATTCACGCAGACTAGCCACTTTCATCAGCCTGCTTGTCTTTTGTGCCGTCGCCTGCTGCCACATCAAAGCTGCAGCGGTGTTCCTCTCAGCTGGAGACATGAATACATGCATAAATGTGTGTGTTTGTGTTTGTGCCTGCAAAAAGCTGCATGTGCATGCAAATATGCGGGGAAAGTGCAGAGAGAGGTTTTAGATTTAGCTTACACGACACATGCATGAGTTGTGTAGTCAAGATCGTGTGTGAGTATGTGCACACCGCAATACAGTGGTTGCAAATGATTTGGTTCTCTCTCTCTAAACAGAGTGAACACTCAGACTTGTGGTTTGCATTGCTCAAGGGCATTTGTTTGTGGATGCCTGTGTGTTTATGTGCATGTGCTATGATATATTGCTCATCCAAGCGGCGGCAGCACTGTGAAGTGCAGTGAGATTAGAAGGGAACCCATTCCTTTGTTAATTTAAATGGGTTCATGCATCATGCTTTGCGAGAGCCTGCCGATCAGAGCATTAAGGAAAAGCGAACACTGCCCAGAGGTGTTTTTAATGGCACAGCAGGGCTTCAGATGCGAAGAGGTTTAATTCCCTGCATTTGAATAAACGCTTGGTTGTAGACCCAGGCTTTATGATTGTAGTGGATATTTGAGTCGTTTTTTGTTGTTGTTTTTCACATCTGAGCTCATATCATTGGTTATAACTGTTGTGCATATCGTGAAGGACTAACACCTACCAATAACCTACTGGTCAACTTAGTTTAACATATTATATTTTAATAGTACCTATTTGATCTGGGGTAAACATCTGTCATGTGCTCATGCTGGTGTGTCAGGATGCGGTATGTTACATTTCAGCAACCAGTGTCAAAGGAAGATTTTAGTGATCAAAGTTATTCTTGCAATTGTGTTGAAATGATTGCCAGTTTAAACATTCATTTGATCAGCAAAAACATATTAATATAGATTACCATACTCTACATATACATATCGTCATTAAAACTGAGAATACGTGCGTGAATTTGATATACTGCTTTTGCAATGCAGTGGTCCACATTGGCAAGAATAAGCGTACATAATATGATCCGCCAAAGGTAGAGAAAGGAGCAGAGTGATGAGGTGAGGGCAGTAATACAGGGTCAGTCTGGCCCAGCTGTTCTACATGACACGGTTCATAGACCCTCCATTGACAACATGTCACAAGCCTGATGCACACTAACACACACACACACACACCTTACTCATGTTCATTTTAGCAGCATATTTAGTCACCGTCCCAAAATTAAATGTCTTTGTGAGTTTTAGTCATAGTCTCAGTCTTTTACTCAATAATTGACCAAAAAGAAAACAATCTAAATATGAAATGTCCCTTTGTGGATGTGTGTGTACCAGCTGTTCTGATAGTATGAACATGCACTATTCAAATCAACTAAAGAAATGAATTTGTATTTTATTTATTTTAAGAGCATTATTATAATTTTCCCTATTGTTGCATTGGCTTTAAATGTTGAACAGAAGGTTTTATTTTTGTCTAGTCTTTCTTTATCATGCTTTCCCAATTGTAGTGTTTTCTGAATAATAAATCAATTGTATTAACAACTTCCTTTCACTTTTTAAGCGTTTCTTTCTTGGCTAGATGACCTTGATTTGGTTATTTTCAATGAGAAGAGCCACGTTGCTCATTTAAAAACCTCAGCCATGTTCTTTCAACATAATCTCCATTACGGTAATGCTGGGAATCTAAACTATGAAGGCTTATGAATTAACATATTCGTTGATTAATTAATCCAACCAGACAAAAGTTATGTCCTCCAGCAAGTGTTGTACAACGACCACTCAACGTAGCCTGTAGCCTTGAGGTCAGACTCGAAGTGTCAATCCAGGCTCTTCAGCGTTATGTAGTCTTTGAAAGTGGTCTTTTTTACTTGTCTGTTTTCTATAAAGCATTAAACCTTGTCGAAACATCTTGTTATAGTATTTGGCAAACCCAGCATTTTTTTTCACAGAGAAACTATAATATAACAATAATATTCCTCAGTCGGTGGTAAGGTGTGACAATGTATTTTCTGTCTCAAGTGTACCAAAACCCATTTTGATTTATAATGTTTTATATCTAAAAAGGTTTGATTTAGATCCTTTCTGACATACTGCTACAACCCCCTTAAAGCTAAGATCATCATTTGATTTTTCAAACTTACCCCAACTACCAATTCAACATTTTAAGGAGGTTTGCACTGGTCTAAACTCTGGTTTTACGAGTGATTAAATGACATAACACAAGTAGGATCACGTTTAAATCATGCAGTTACGTATGTCTGTATCTTTCAGTCTTTACAGCAGGTCATTCTCATCCTTGAATGAGATATGTCTTGTTTTCTCAGTGGTTTTATTTCCTCTTCACAGGATCCTCCAGTGTTTCCTGTGGGCCAGTTCAGTGAGAAGTTTGTTCACTTCATCACTCAGTGGTGAGTCAGTTACTCTTCAATACGCTTTTGTTTCTCGAAGGACAGACACAGAAATTGTTTCAATGAAACCATTCAGATTTCAAAAGGAATGTTGTCAGTTTTCAATGGCTGTTGATTGCACAGTATTTGTGATTCTAGTTAATAATGGCTTAATATGCGTGGCACAGTCAGCCATCTGAGCCCCACAGAGCCACGCTGAACAATTACAAGACCAGAAGCTGCATTTGACATAGATGAGCCAAATGATGGTAGATGAATCAAAGGTATAATGGCAATACAAAGGGATTAAAGTGTATTTGCCTGTGTGTTAATGCATTGTGGTTGTAATGGTTTTAGCTATGATATTCAATGCTGCTGAATAAAAAGGGATGATTGAATCCTCTAATGCAACAGGACAAAGACAATGTTTACCCTGAGTTTGCCTCTGATTCATTAGCCTCCTGTAACCTTTACAGTTGCACAAACATGTACATACACACCCAAACCACATGTAAGCAGAGAGTGTGTGTGTGTGTGTACCGCACTCAGGGCCTGGTTGTGCCATCTGTTGTTTATCCCCCCTGCCTGCTTTGTTTACTTAAACGGGGCACGACTCTCTCAGGACAGACTGAGGTACCTGCCTCGGTGCAGTATCTCCTCCCAGGCTATTCTTAGAGGATCATGGCCCATTCATTGTGATACATAAACTGCTGACATGACAAACTGCAGAGAGGCCCCTGCACTAATTCCTCAAAGTCCCCAATATACAGCACATACTATAAAGGACACTCACAAAACCCACATGAATCTAATAAATCTACTAATATGTGGTTATTGTGAAGGTAAACTTCTGTTGTTGCAATGTTGAGGTAGAATGAAGGAGTCTGGAACGTCGATTAGCCAAAGCACTAAGAGTTTATTGATCACAGTACATTAATTACATACGGCCGGGAGATCATCTTAGTTTCACACTGTCCTTGTGCTCCACCAAGATTATCTCTGCCCCCCAAAGCCACAAACATCGCTACTACACGAGGAGAGGCCGGCCCACAGAAAGCCCGCGTATACCTAATCAATAGCCGATGGGAGACGATGAACTACTTGTCTCAAAGAGATCCAGCCAGGTCTCAAACCTCCCCCACGGATAAAGGAGAAGCGTTTGACCTGTGACCTCAACTTACAGAGGAGTCTTTGAATGACTACAAGCAGATGTTTGCAGTATCACAGATTCTAAAAAACTATAAGAAGCTCTATAAACAGATCAGATTAAAATATTCTCTTACAGTTATTGCTTACATTTTAGTGTTCTGACAAATAAAACAAATCTATTTTATTTTTGAAATATTGAATAAATAAATGTATTGAAAGAAATGTTGTATCTATTCCGAACTCTTATTGAATATAGCTTCATAACTGAAAAGGATGCCACCGAGATGAAAGTCAAAACACCTCTTGTACATTTTCAAAGACAGTTTGAGTAGTGGCTGGATACAGACTGTTTGTATCACTCTTACATTTTATTTTCAGCATGCGACGGCAACCCAAAGAGAGGCCTGCCCCCAATAACCTCATGGTAAGTTCAACCAAGACTTCCATTAAACACTTCCAAAGTCAACATATACGTTTTGAAAAGCTTTATACATACGGTGAATATTCATGCATACAGATACAAATTCAATTAAACACTATTTTATTAAATGTAACTATTTGAAAATACTATTGTATATTTTACAAAGACTGGGGTGTTCTGGATCAAGGATCATCAAAGTTGTGGTTTCTGTGTGGAAAAAAAAGTTATGAACTTTTTGCTGCCAATGAAAGATGTTGGAGAGGTCAGAGAGAAACCTTGAGGTAGTATTGAGACCTACTTCAATATTCATTTCATTCCCCCTCATTGGAGTCAACATCAAATGAATCAGGCCTAGCTGTTGTAAAGGAGTAAAATAATTGTAGTTTACAAAACTAGTTTTCTTTTAACATTTAACGATGGGCCAAAAGGACATTATTTTTTGTATCTGTCTGTGCCTGTTAAGGTAAAACAAAAAGTGCCAATAAGATAATTCTTTCAACCACAACGTGTGTTCTGAGGATCGGTTTCACCAGTCTGATTGGGAATGGTAAAACAGTAAATGGACTTCTTTTATACACCACCTTTCTGTCATACTGGATACATGTGCCTCTCATTACACAGCGGCTGAGATGCCCTGCAGATGGTGGGAAGATGCATCCCAAATAAAAGCAAAAGCCATTTCTCATTTAGCCCAAAATAACATCCCTCTGTTTCCTATAGTAAAGTTGCAATACAATGATTTTCAACCCTATAAGATCACGTAAAAAATCATGCCGCATAAAAATCGAGTTACATTTAAGGGATCCTTTACACAGTATGTAGATTCATCAGCTTTATTTTGAAAGTTGAAATAGATCAGCAAATCAAATAGCCACGAATTGTAATGCTCTTTAATATTTTAAAAAGGCTCTTCTAAGACTTCCTATGAACTCCGTAATAACTTTTCATTAATCCAGCATTGGATATTGGGATGTTTTGGTCTTTTTGTATGTTCCAGTGAAAAGGGCATATCCTCTTTAACATGAGTACAGTGTGAAAGATGCCATAGATAGGAGTGCCACTAAAAATATACATCGGTATGAACAGGAGCAAACGTTGTACCATCTCTAACTGGCTCAATTAGTGTCATTTTAGGTTGCTGTGGAAACAGATTGTTAATGGTAATTATTACTCAAAGCCATAGATTATTTGCACTGTGACTCTGGTGCAGTAGAGTTTTATAGGTAAGGAAGAAGACTTTACTAAGTTCCAACTCTTCCTGTCAGTGTGCCAGTATACACGCCAAACTGCACGCCTCGCTCTAAAGTGGTCTTGATTTTTGTTCTGTCCTGGCGTTAGCACACAAGGCTGCAGCAGTTTGCACAAACTGCCTTTTAAGAGTTGCAACATGCTCTGGTTTCTGTGTTAGGACCAAGGACAGCGACAGTTAGGTCCGCAGAGAGAGGAGGGGTGAGGGTTTATGTTGTGGGGATGGAGTGCTGGAGGGTGTAAATGCAGAGCTGCTAACAGATTGTATGTTCTCAGTCTCACACCAGAAAGGGGGAGTAAAGGGAAATGTTGTCTAGACACACTTTGGGAATTCTTGCCTCCAGACAGAAGTGTTTCTCTGAAGGGAGACCATGCACTACTTAGAGAAGTTCAGCTTGTTGTGTTGTGGTGGGTTCCTTTTCTTTTAGTGACCTTTCAACAGCTTCCATTGTGTGTGTTGAGCGACACCTTGACACCATAATGTTCTTATTGTCTGTCTTTATGATTGTTGTAGTGCAGAGGCTTTTGTCTTTCTTCTCACTAATTGTGGCTGAAAGCCCGCTTCACACGTCTTCTCGGCCGTACCTTGAGCAATAATATGAATGCTTGAGACTGAATACTGGGCTTTTTTTCAGCTTTTCCATGACTTGGGTTACTTATAAACTGCAGTCAAATAAGATGTATTTCTCAAAGCAAAAAGACTGTTGCACTTATTTTAAGTCATTTGATTGTGTGTGTGATTCCAGACCAACCTCTCTGCATGGTTTGATCTGTCACACCACAAACCTGCAAATGTGCTTTGTTCAAATGTCTTCTTCTTTCAATTTGAAGCTGACCAGACTTTTTTGTAATGCAATCATGGATATGCCAAACATTTTGTAGATGTCTCCTTTTTCTAGCCCTCCTCTCACTCTGCCCTACTTCTTTGAGGTGTATTGTGGTCCCTGTGCTCTCTTTCAGATGTACCTTCTCTCCATTCGTCTTTCCTTTACCTATATGTCTGTCCTCCTGTAGGCCTTTCATCTCTTCCTCTGCCCCTTGTGAACTGAGATATAAGGTCATGGATGCCTGCCTTGTGGCACCCGGCTGCTGATTGTCTTTCTCATTCCCTCTTTTCTTCCCCACCTCTCACTTTACCTCCCCATCCTCCCAGCCTCCTGAGTACATTAAAACTCTTTACCTATTCTATCTGTATGTTAATGCACCTAGCCACACACAGCTCCTCTCCCTCTGCTTTACAGACGGTTTGTTATCCCTGCATCTCATTTCTCCTGGAAGGTAATGCAGGAAACTCACACAATAGTGCACGCATTAAGCAAATAATGTTGTTTTATGGCCATACAAACTCACCTAGTGGCTCTAGTTTGCTCATCAGGTTTCACCGTGTGGTTTCTCTAATCACTGGTATAGCTTTTATTGACGTCATTATTTTCACTGGGATTTTTATCCTATTAGAGCTTCTTTAAAGGGCTGCTGTTTGATTGCATGCCTGCTCTTGATGGGTTTTGTCCCTGAAGCTTGACACAGTGTGCTACAGCTCCTTATACTGAATGCTTTGCTCATACTAATATTATTATATCTTATTAAAGATAACGCTTTTTATCACTAAGGCGTTCAGTGATAGGAAACCTTTTTCTTAGATTAATGCTACTAATATGTTTGCAACAGGAGTAAGGGCAGAACAGGAACAATACAAAAGGTGTTAGTTCCTAACGCCACAAAAAACACAATGAACTAATGAAATATTTAAAAAATGGCTTTGTTTACAGCTATGTTTCCTAGCTTGTTGGCTTGTTCCTTTGTTGGCTTTAGTGTCATTGCGTTACTAACAGCAGAATAACATCTGCTCCAGGAATCTCTACACACGTATGTTTATGCTTTTTCTTTTGTAAACATTGCTTCATAGCCCCACTCATGATCCAAAACTCCACTGAGTAAGGGGACACTGAATCGAAAGGATATTCAACAAATAAAATCCCATACTTTTCCCATGGAATTTTCCTCATACCGAGGCAATATTCTCCAAATAACATCCCATACTTGATTTATTTGGATTGATTTCAACATATTTAGTCTCAGTTAAGCTTCTATTGATACATTATAGGCATTTAGAAAATACTTTCATTTGTCAGTTTATTTTCGTTTTTTTATCTTAAAGGGGACCTATCATGCAAAATGCACTTTGTGATGTCTTTTAGACATGAATATGTGTCCCCGGTGCGTCGGGGAACTCACGCAGCGTCAGAAAATAAAACCCTCTCTTTTCCTCCGTACCCAAATCTTTTAAAAACGGGTGTACAACGAGCGGATACAGATTTGCTGCCGATCTGACGTCAAATCGCCAGCGGACCCACAGAAAGTTGCTATCAGAAACAATGCCTGACGTGTTTTGGACGTAATCTCGTCTTTGTTTACATTAGCAAGCCTCGCTAACACTCAGAGCTAACCTGTACTGGAGAGCACATGTGTTTTTTTTTAAAAAGGAACTCACCTTGTGATAAACCCGCACGAGAAAAAGCATTTGAGCTCCATACTGTTTCAGAAATAATCTTTGATGTGGTTTAGAACAGGATGGCGTTTTATCACAGCAGAATTTAACTTTATCTCCGGTAGAATTCTGATCAGGCATTAGCTCTGCCTCCTCTTTTTTTTTTCTCAAGCTAAGGACCCAAAATCCGCGTTTCTCTAACAGGGCTTCAAAAGAGGGGTATGAGCAGTATGAGGCATGGCTTCAATGGGTGAACTGTTTGGTATTTTAAGCAAAAAACTTCACAGACATGTTTTGTATAGGTATGGCCCTACAATATATTTTTCCAATATAGCATGATAGTTCCACTTTAAGTACATTATTTTATTACCCTGCTCTCTCTGAGTTTATAGCAATATTAGTCCATTTCAATGTGTTACCCTAACCCCAATGGAAACGTTGAGTTGTTCTGAACCCAGATGGTTTACACCATGACTCATAATCTGTTTGTCATTATGTGGACGCTAAATCATTGAGAAGGAATATCTAACTGAGCACTGTTAGGCTGCATTAAGCTCAGTATTTCACTTCAGTCAGTAAAGTGTGTTTTCCTCATTTCTTAAAAGTCATTTGAAGAGAATCCCATGTTGAGTTATCAGAGAGGAAAGGAAGTGTGTTTTCTCCCCTTTATACTAATGCATTTTTCATTGTGGACACTCTATCCTGTCATCATAAGCTAATGACGTTGGTCAGTAAAGGAGGATACTTTCCATTGGCCGGCTCCCAGGACGTGAGCAGCAGGTATTTGGTGATAACCTATCCTGTCTGAGGTCTTTCTCCTCCCCCTCCTCCCTCAAAACAAGGCCATAGTCTGACTGCAAGATATTTATTAAGCGTTAGGGCACGAAAGGCAGAAAAAACAACATGTTGTGTATCTTTGAGCTTGATTGTGTGTGTAGTGTATGTATGGCAGACATAGAAAACAAAGTGTGGATCCCATGCCTTTTGTATTCTTCGATTGTGGTTTGATTGACGTTTCATTTCTCCCTCCCCCCTCTTCCTCATCATCGCTCATTCCCCAGCTAGAAGCCTTCACACAGCCTTTTAGCACCTTGTCAATGCAACCCTCCTATTCTGCTTCTCTATTCATAGACACACACACACACACACACACACACTCATTTTGTAGCCCCCATTCAACCCCTGAGACACCAGATGAGCCCCACGGTTCACAAAGGAAACCCCTCCTGTGTCTAACTGTCCCTAAATCTAGTTTAGACTCGCACAC